GTTTTAAGCCGTTCCATCCCAGCCCTTATAACGGCTTTATGTTGTTTAAAGCCGTTCCATCCCAGCCCTTATAATGGCTTTATGTTGTTTAAAGCCATTCCATCCCAGCCCTTATAATGGCTTTATGTTGTTTCTTTTTCACAGTAGTATTATTTGATAGTATTCTTCTCACATTATTTATTTTGCATAATGTGATGTATAGTTGGGAGATTACTTTCAATCAAATTTTGTTCACAAAAAAAATGCACCAAATTGCACAGTAAAATGCAATTAGAGCTAGGCGTGTCTTTAACCTTGTGTTATACAACATGTAAATGCAAGATGTCAGTACGAAATATCTATCGCCCATATAATACTTGCTATGCAATTAATAAACACAAAACATCACTGCTCACATTAAAAACGCTAAGCAAGGATACAGTCGCCCACTGTCACGTGATCTTTGAAGATGTTGTACCTGTCAATACAACGCAAATGAAACATAGATTACAGCCAACCACAGATGATACCGATAATATCTTAATTGTGATCATTGTGTGCGATCAGATATACTAAGTGTATCGAGCGACATAGGGTCTGTTATGTCAAATACTCTACTTATATATAATTATAAAAACAGTGAGCTTAGAAGGACTGAAATAAAATTTGGACAAGAGGTAATGCAATGTTGATGAAAAAACTCACATTTGTATCAGAAATGAAGTCTGTCAAACAATGAAAACAACAATTTATTTACATCTGTATATAGTAGCAAGAATTGTTTTCGACTCCAATTAATTGAAACAAAATCTGGTATAAGAGTTAATGTTAAATTTGTAGACATTTATATGTGAAGTTTCATCTAAATTGGGTAAGAATAAAAAACTATAGATATGACATCATTTTTCTTTAGAGTAACAATGACCCATTTGTCTCCAGATGGCTGAATTGCCCTTAGAGTGACAATGACCCATTTGTCTCCAGATGGCTGAATTACCCTTAGAGTGACAATGACCCATTTGTCTCCAGATGGCTGAATTGCCCTTAGAGTAACAATGACCCATTTGTCTCCAGATGGCTGAATTACCCTTAGAGTAACAATGACCCATTTTTGTCTCCAGGTGGCTAAATTGCCCATGGGAATTTTCTTGCCCTGAAACATGTACTCACCATTTCTTCAACACAATTTTGTCTGCTTTTGTTCCTGTTTGGGCAGCTATCAACTTCTTCAGATCTCCGATAGTATCATCCTCACTGATGGAGGTTAAGGCTTTCTAGTTAACTTCATGAGCTACATCAAGTACAGTTCCAAAATTGCAACTTTCAAAATACAAAATCACATTTGAACTAAAATGTACATGGTTTTAATCATCTTATATTAATTGCAAACTTCCCCATAATAGCTTCTATTGCTCCTTATTTGATTTGATTTCACATTCAAACATGTAAGTAACCTATATACTGCAATTTAACACTGACGATCGATACTTTAACCAAAGGCTATCCACAAAATAAAACCTATACAATAATTTTCAGACCCTGTAGAAAGGTCGGATCCATCACAAGTTGCCCAGACGGCGAGAGTTGAACCCCCCCGGCCACCTAACAGTTAACCAAGATCAAACACCACCAAATTCTCTAGACCTCCGGGGATCCAGGCCAACCAGGGCTGTTGTCAATCATTTCATTAATAATAAAATATTAAGATTGCTTCAAGAATTAGTGGCTGATCAATCTCAAAATATGCACAACTAAGGACCAAGGGTAAAGCACACATGAATTTAGAATAAACTCAAGTACTATATGTGTGTACTTTCCGAGATATACTGATACATGTATAAAATTAAACTTAAACTGTCAAATTCAAAACTGAACATACAAAATTAAGGCTGTAAGGCAGAAAAGCAATATTTTTCACTAGTGCCAAGCTTGAGTAATATATCAGCATGTCCTGCCATACAACTGAAATAATGAATGTGGTACTCAATTTCAACTGGAAAACCATTGATTCTTTTTATATTCATTGCAGTTATAAATCACATTATACTGCGTCAAGGAAGTGGTGGGATTAGCTATATATACAAGACTCAGCAAAACCAGTACAGGGACACTACTCCACTACATGTTTACCATGGTAACAAATTAGTCTCCTGCATGTGTTCATCGTAAAGGATACTTGCATTTCACTCGCACTTTCTTCCCAAGTCGGTCATTACATGTTATCTCCAGCATCTTTTCCAGTTATGGTCATCTGGAATTCAACAAAGCGCCTAGTTAATCAGTTGTATTGATCAACTTTATCAGACAAAAAAACAACGAGTATGTATAACATTAGATAGACATTTGAAATATCATGTGTACTTATAAAGCTAGCCCGAGTTTCCTCTTGCCTTGACACCAGACTTAGACATTATGATCATGCACTACTGTATGAAAACGTGGAATTCTCCGACACAGTTAGGTATCTGGGAGTGACTTATAAACAAAAAGACGAGGTCCGGAAAATCTTCTAAAAAAAGAGTAATAGTCTACGTTTTCGGTCCGAATCAGTATGGTTTGTTGATTAGTCACTCCCATGACTTACAAAAAGGTGTTTGCTCAGGTGGGAAATTTTGAACGATTGAAACCAAGGGCTCTACTGATGGAATTTAGCAGCTGTTTGTTATGATAAGAGCAGTTTGGATCAATTAATCCATTTATCAATACATGTGAGGTATATGTTGTGTCAAAGCAGATTTTTGTTGTCAGCACCTCATAACTTTCAAATATCAAATGGTGTCGGAGAATTCCATGTTTTCATTTAATAGTGCGCTCTGGCCCCACATACACCAGACTAATACAATCGTTAACCTGTAACTGAGCGAGATCGGGTTATCTCTGTCGAGGGTTAAGATTTTGTAACAAAATTCCAACCGAGGCGTAAGGTTGGGATGTCACAGAATCTTAGGCCGAGACCAAGATAGCCCGATCTCGCTCAGTTACAGGTAATTGTAACATTCAATCTTGCTAAAAACTTCAAGTATCCTGCCTTGGGCCTCAAATGATAATGACCTCTTCACTACTAAAACTACATTTGAATTCTTCTGCGTAAAAATGTAGTCTGTCCTTACATAGATTACAATGTATTTTACAGTGTAGATTATATTTTATCTACAACATCAAATATCTAACAACATCAAAACTATACATATAACGACAAAACAGAACATTTATAATGCAAATTGTCAATTTCAATCAGTTACGTGCAGATGAATACATCGCAGAGTAAAAATTCCGCGAAATGTCACGTAAAGGTGCAAGACAGATCGGACGAGATAGAAACATCTAGCATGGGGTATGACGTGGGATATCTCTGTCTGAGGTGCGAAATATCTATATCTGTCAAAATGTCTGAAGTCTGGTGTCAGGGCCAGAGGAAACACAGGCTATATCATACATTAAATCCTGTATACAAACATATGGAGTACAGACTATAATAGAGATACTGGTCCTGATGTACATTGTGAACTGGGATTTTACCCTTATGGGCACTCATGATCACCTTTGTAGGCATAACTACAATTAAAGAGCAGTTTTTAATCAGCTAAATTGCGTAAGAAATTCTATCAACGTTCTTGTTTATTTTAACCCTACTAGATAACCAGACAGGCAAGATATCTGGAACTAGCGATATGAAAATAACCATGAAACCCCCCAAAAAAATAAGTGAATTAAAATAAAAGATGCATTTCTTATGATATGGTGCATGTTTACATTGTGCACTCACCAGCCTTGTTCAGGTTGGGCACAACGGCGCATATGGGTAATAATCCTGCATTTGGGTAACAATTTTATTACTGAAATGGGGAATAAAGTGAAATAAAAACACACAAAGTTCTTTTAAACACTTGGAGCAAAAAAGGGCGTCATTATGTCAACTAAATCAAATAAATAACACAATGAAGTACATTTGTGCACAAAAAATTATCAATTTCAACTTTTTGTGAAAATGACAAACCATATCAAAGACTTTGTTCTCCATTGACTTCAGTGTGTAGTCAATGGGACTATCCGGTGCAAATGTGACAGGTGAGCATGATTTTTAAATGTGTGCTTTTTATAGCTACTCTACAACACACTATAAGCAATGGAGGTGATATACAATTTGTCATTTTCACAAAAAATCAGACAACTGAATTTACAAATTTTTGTACACAATTGTACCTCATTGTAATTTTTATTTGATTATGTTGAAAGAATGATGTCCTTTTTTGTTTATGTGTAAAATAACTTTGTGTTTTTATTCACTTTATTACCCATTTCAGTAATAAAATTGTTACTCAAATTTTTGAGGGTAACTGTTAAACCCAAATGCAGGTTTTTAACCCATATGCGCCGTTGTGCCAAACCTGGTGTTAGCTTATGATTATTTGTCTTTGTTCGCATGAGCATAAATATCGTTATTCCGGACATTTAAAGATTTTATTTAGTTTTCTCGATAAAAGTCACTGATATGTGTTACGATTAGTTACCATTTAAACACATGTGCTGTACATTTCAAATTATTTCATGCATTTAGTGATTTACGTTGTAAGATTTTTTTATCACTGCCAGACGCCACTGGTAATTATTTCTCTTTGATTCCTTACTATCGCGACAGTGAAATGGACTAATGAATACAGAAAGCACTCAAAGCAATTGATATAATCGTAACATCACAACCGTAAACTTACCACTTTATTTACTGACGTTTTCCCCACGTAAATATGGGATTAATATGGCTGTCATATACAGAGCTAGAAGTGTTCTTTTTCAAAACTGTTAGTTTCGTATCCTCGGGTTATAATAAATTTACACTTTATTTTAAAGAAACTAAATATTTTGCGTTGCTTTAAAATGCATGCATAGTTACCTTATGATAACTTAGGGCAATATATGAAAGTTTTATTTAAATTTTGTGACTTAGATAACATCTATTTCCGTGATATACCGAATTTAAATAAAACTTTCATATATTCATATAGAGTGCACTCCCTTGTTCACGTTTTCAATCAAGGAAGTTAACAAATCCATGCGTGGACTTTCGCTTTCATATAGGTAATGTACTGATCATCTATATATATGCGAGGCATGTACATGATTGTCTTGTCCAAGTCCCCACAAACAGAGCAAATTTATAAAAATAACCTGATCACGTAATGAAAATGTCTGTTCATCGACAGCCACACAGAGACTTGACTAGGACACAGTTGTAGTGTATGCACTATGATGATGATGATGATCATGGTGGTGGACCGTCATCTAACTTTTCGCTCAGTTCTCATATTTTTGCGGCCACAATGTTATTTTCCATTATTTATTATTAAATTACAAAGGAAATTTGGTATTTCATTATGTGTACTTCTTCGAATTCAAGAGGCTTCCGCCAACAGCCTGCGCATGCTTTTCCTTTTTTTTTTTTAAATAATACATGCATTTAACAAAATAGTTATTGATGTATTTGTTCGAAAACTACTTTAATATTAGAATACTACATTACTATCAAACTTCATGATCTCTCAATCAAACTAATTTACTTGGCTCTTATATTATAATTAGTAATGAGAAGATTTAAGTTTGAAGATATATCGCTCGCTAAAAGGATTAATTAATTTAACTTTATTTTTAAGTACAAGTTGTAAGTCGTCTCCCTTTGTATACATGTAGCAGGACGAGGAATAGTGATAATGATAGTGCCGTCGCTGGGGCTCGAATCTGCGGCCCATGGCTGATCTCCAGCCCGATGCTCTACTGCTTAGCTAAAGGGAAATTTTTTTGTAAACGTGCACGTGTATTTCGTAAGTTTTATCACAGGTACTTGCCTCGTCTGCTGATACGTACACTGGCCATAATAATATAATAGATGAATTGACAGATGAGGTGAGTGTACCTTTGATTTTATTAGAGCTTTCCTGCAAAGATACAATTTTTACTTATTTCCATTGAATAATCCTTGGTATGCAGGTATGATATTAATCGGAATGTGTTTTGTAGTTAAGGATGTTATTTTGTCTTGCAGATCAAATTGCCAGTGTGTGACAATATGGCACTTCAGGTGTTAGTTCTGGGGCTATCGGTTGTCTTCATTTCCTACACAGAGGCTATTGATGTGGATCCCAAGGGATACATACTGTATTGTCCCTGTATGGGTGAGCAGTCAGTTTTTCAAATAAAGAGATTATACATGTTAGAGGGCAATTAAACTATATGCATGCCCTAACTTAACAGACATTTTCGGTTGTTTTGTAGTGTAACTGTTCTTGGTTGATCGTTGGCAACCAGGTACCTCAATTGGTACAGCGTCCGTATAGAGGTTGAAGGGTCTTGAGTTCGAATTCCTATCTTTGAGCCGAAATGCATGACTAGACCGGGGTTCAAACTCAGGACCCTCCATTACCTCTAGACGGACGCTCTACCAATTGAGCGTTACCTGGTCGCTGATGATCCAGTTCCGCTGCATTATATTTACTGTGACATGTTACTGAGATTAACCTGCAGTAGGAGTTGATTACAGATTGCTGCTTTACAGTTTGAGCTGAAACAGAATTTCCCAACAGTTAACTTGTGACAAGAAAGTTTACCACATGTACTGTCACAGTTTTTACTATTTTTTAAGCCATTGCCTTTGATGTTTTTGCTAGATGGTTAACTCTTCACATTCAAAAAAAATGATGTGACTTATTTAATGTAAGCAGATGTAGAATTACTGGCAACTAAAAATATCAGCAAAATTGTTTGTATCATATGTAAACTTTTAGAATAAGTAACAATCATTAATAGTATGGTAAAACATTAAGGGATTGCAGTTTACAAACTATCAATTATTTCTACAAGCTAAATCAACAATAAAAAGGTACTAACATGTAGTTGTACAATAACAACTCAAGATTTTCAAGTCCTCAACGTGATGCTCTTTCTTTCATTTAGCACCTCGCTTATATCTGTACTATGATCCTGATGTCCACTTTTCCTTATTATTTTAATAATTTCTCTACAAGTGTAGAGATATATAGATTAAATGGTTCAGACCTGTTATAACATCAAAAATTTAACTAGTAAATTGTGCCAAGATTTTAATGCATATTGATCACTTATGGACTTACATATGTTAGCAGTAATCTGATTTTAGTAGTTTGAGCTTATGCCATACCGTGGCGTCCGTCGTCTGTCGTCATCCGTCGGCTGTACGTCAACAATTTCTTCAAATGACATCTTCTTAACAACTGATTGGAATTGAACTAAATTTGACTGGAAGCATCCCTAGGTGCAGGGGATTCAAAATTGTACAAATGGTGTTAACCCCCCAGGGGGCTGAAGCGCAGGGCCAAAAGGGGACAATTTGGCTGTATTGCTATAAACAACTTCTTCTGTAGAACTGTGCAATGGATATCAATCATATTTGGTCAGAAGCATTCATGGGAGGCGGGGATTCAAAATTGTACAAATGGTGGGGCTGAGGGGCGGGGCCAAAAAGGGTTATTTGGCTATATTGCTTTAACCAACTTTTTCTCTACAACAAAAAGATGGACATCAACCATATTTGATTGGAAGCATCCCTAGGTAGTGGGGATTCAAAATTGTACAAATGGTGGGGCTTTTGACCCCCAAGCGGGCAGAAGGGCGTGGACAAAAGGGGGCAATTTGGCTATGTATTGCTATAAATTACTTCTTCTTTAGAACTATGCACTGGATATCAATCATATTTGGGTGGAAGCATTCATGAGAGGCTGGGATTCAAGTTGTACAAGTAGTGGGGCTGACCCCTTTGCTAAAGAGAGGGGCCAAAAACAGTTTATTGCTTGGGAATGGTTGAGATCCCCACCTCAAAACTGTATATACAAATAAATGCCGGGCATAAAGAGACAAATGCAGTCATGATATTATAATTGATCCTGGGGTCTGGCCACAACCCTAGGGATATAGTTTCTGAATCCCACATTGGAAACAGTTGAGATCCCCACCCCATAACCATACATAAAATTGCTGGGCAGGAAAAACCTAATACAGATATGATACAAGGATTGGCCTTTGGGTCTGGCCCATTCCCTTCGATCTTATTTGGAGAATATTTTGCCATGATTAATTTTGATATCCAGATGAGTGATAGAGCTTGTTAAAGTTTCTGTTTAAATATGATGATATGTGATAACATTTGAGTGAGCTAAAATAAGAAGGTTTACAGTACATGGCCGTGTGAAAGATATTCACCTGCTTTTGGCAGAGAGCATTGTCACTTTACAACATTGAAGGGATATAATTTTTTTTTATCAATTTGCTGTCACTAAAAATAGCAACACAGAGTCAATATGTTGATTATTGACTCAACATTGACCACATCAGAGCATATCAGAGTATAGGTAATGCAGACCTTATCTTATACATGTTGTTTCATGTATTACCCCAATATGTAATGAGTACATGCTTGTTATACAGGTAGATTTGGAAACCAAGCGGATCACTTCCTGGGTTCACTGGGATTTGCGAAGGCTTTAGACAGGACACTGGTACTACCTCCTTGGGTGGAATATCAATTTCCAAAACCAAGATCTGTAAGTTATACAACAACATGAGGAGTTATGCATAACACAATAAAATGTTAAAAAACATTTTAACTCTCGAAAGTTGAGTTTAGTTTAATATAATAATGTGCTGTTTTTACAGGTTCAGGTTCCATTTGACACTTACTTCAAAGTGGAACCTTTAAGGGCCTATCACAGAGTCATGACCATGGAATCTTTCATGAAGGAACTAGCCCCTACAATCTGGCCTCCAAAGGATCGCACAGGTACACATTTTCATGATGAAAAGTAATCTTCATGTTATATGAGGATGAAATAATATACATGTATAGACTTCTATATATATATACTTCATTTATAGTTTATAGGTTGCCAAATGGATGCACTGTGTAATACAAAACAAAAATATAGAGATACATGAACAATCTGAATGCAGAATTAAATAATTCCTTTAAAAGATTGTAATTAAATGGGTGATTTATGATCAAATTAATGTTTATTTTTCTGTATCAAATATATATTAAAACACTTCAACTTTAGGCATTACATTTTTTGTCAACAGTCACTGCAAGACAGTAAAGCTGTTTCTTTGCCAAAAATCAGTTATTATGCTCCCCGAAAAAAATTGGGGAGCATATAGTTGCCACTTTGTCCGTCTGTCTGCCTTTTCGTGTCCGGAGCATAACTTTACCAACATTTGATTAGGATCATGAAACTTGGTATTTACATTACCCATACTTAAGACGATGCGCACTATGCCAAATGTACACCTTTGCCTGCATTCAAGGTAAGATCATGAAACTTGGTGTGTACATCAGTCATCCTAAGGCAATGTGCACTGTACCAAATTTAGGGCCCACAACCCAGGCTTACATACAGAGTTATTGCCCTTTTGCTAAAATTGTCATGTCCAGAGCATAGCTTTGCCTGCATTTAAGGTAGGATCATGAAACTTGGTGTGTACATCAGTCATCCTAAGGTAATGTGCACTGTACCAAATTTAGGGCCGACAATCCCTTATTTACAGATTTATTGCCCTTTGCTAAAATGTTGTGTCCGGAGCATAACTTTGCCTGCAGTTGTACATCAGTCACACTAAGGTGATGTGCACTGTACCATATTGAGGGTCTGCAGCCCCTTAGTAATAGAGTTATTGCTCTTTGCAAAAAATATCAGACACATACATGTATGTATGTATTTTAAAACATTATTTTTCTTCTTCAAAATCCCCATTATTTTTACCAATATATATATGTGTCATACATCTAACCAAATGCAAAATTCACAAACAGGAAAAGCCTCCAGTAAAGTTGTTTTCGGGGAGCATACATCAGTTCCACTGATACTCTTGTTGATATTATAATGATGAAGAATCGTTGAAAAATCTACTGGCAAATCAATTGTCTTTTCTGATTTACATGCATTCAAAAATAAAAAAAATAGATACTCTTCCTGTCAAACCCATTTGCATTGCATTAATCCCTATATACAGTATATAGAGTATGATATTGGGTAATTATATAAAGGTATGCTCTCAGAGTCTAAGGCTGATAGCACGAAAGTGATCAACATGGAGACCTCTCCTTGTCTGGAGAAACCTAATCACTCGAGCTATAAACTGTAAAACCTCTTCTTTGTACATGTATCTGCTTTTGCCAGGAACAAATGACCTTTTCTTGCCAAAATAAAAATGAAAAAGGATATTGAGAAAAAGTTGTCTGTTATGAATTTCTGTCAGCGTCCTCCTCATTAGCACATTTATTACAGTAATTAACTGTTTCATGGTCTTTAGAAGAGTTCATATAACATTAGTCTAGTATGTAATAAGTGAAATAAGTTGTTGTATTGACTGCACCTAAATGTGATGTCACAATTATAACCAAATGTATAGATACCGCCAGGGTTAGAGATTTCTCAAACAGCTTCTTGCATTAGAAAATTGTTTACGTTTGAATTTAAAGCAGGTGTTATAGTTAGCGGCTACCATGGCAATGCAGGGCTAGATTTTAAGGTAGCTGGGAAGAACACGATACTTTCATGCCAGAATTTTGGCATAGTAACAGCAAATACACAGTACACCATTGGATAAAAGTTGATTAATAATGCATCTTTTTGGCAGTGATGTGTTACCAGGCACGACATGGCGCCACCAAAGGAAACAGCTGTAATGCCAAAGATGGAAACCCCTTCGGTCCGTTCTGGGATACCTTTAACATTGACTTCACTAGCTCCATATTTTACGGTCCTCTTGGTTATGATCTGATGAATCTCCATGAAATGAAAAGATGGAGAGACAAGTAAGAAATCATTAAACGTTGACAGAATTTTTTAATCAAAAGTTCAAAAGAAACAACTAGTGTTCTGAGACTTGTCAAAGGACTCTAAAAAGGCAGTCTTATACAAAATACACTTGAGAATGATCGATGGTTTGACTCACTGCTATTTAAAGATTGTAATTAGATCTGATGTTCTGCCGAACTAAACACAAAAAGGAGATAGGGGACATGTATTGCTTTGCATATATTGACAGAACAATGTTTCATTTACAGGTATCCTGCATCACAGTACCCTGTGCTGGCCTTTACAGGTGCTCCGGCCGCCTTTCCTGTCCAATCATACAGTGTTCATCTACACCAGTACCTCAAGTGGTCAACCAAGGTGGAAACCAAGGCGGACAAGTTCATCAAAGAAAACTTCCCAGAGCGAGCTTTTGTTGCCATCCACCTGCGTCTAGGCACAGACTTTGTAAGATGATAACGATTCTTTATCAAAATCGGTAAATATGTGGTCAAATAGAGACAAAGGCTACAAGGAAAGCTGGACACAAATTATCATGATAAGCATTGATATTTCATTATGAATACCATTGTCACATTTAGGACATGTGTATGAGTAGATTGATCCAGTGTATAAAGCTGATTGCCTTCCACACAGATGGCCAGGGTTTTAGTTTTTGTACAAGCTAGCTGAGCGATTTGTGGAGATGCCCTAGGCCTGCTTACCATAGAGCTCTTTTTATGTTGTTTCCAGTGTAATCCTGCAGATAGAACTCAAGCTCTAGATTCTATGTGTTTATGCAGATAAATGACAGTTTTTATAAAGATAGAAATTTTGGAGAATTCTTACTCTGGTTATTGAAGTAACTGAATAGATTAAACAAATTAACACAAGTTTTATTTTTAACCTTACAGGTAAAAGCTTGTGAACACATAAAAGATAGCCCAAACATGTTTGCAGCAGCCCAGTGTATTGGCTATAATGGAGAGTATGGTAAAACAACAAAAGAGATGTGTTATCCGTCTGATGATACTATTGTACGCCAAGTCAAAAACGCAGTCAAACGTATCAAAGCCAAAGGTGTTTTTGTCGCTACTGATAGCCGTGACCTCATTGAGAAAATGTCCAAGGCTATGAAAAATGTGAGTAATGGGAAATTCAAATCAGGTGCCCCCGTTTCATATCATTAGAGATTGTCATACTGTTATATAGTACAAACGATGTCCTATCTATTTATTATGATATAGGGACATAGCACAGTCAGTCTTGCACCAACAATAGATAATAAACTTAATATACTGGAAATCTTTCTATCAGCGAAATTACTTTCTTCATAACTATAAATGTTAAGTCCTAATTTATAAAAAAGGCTGGTATTAGAATACAACAAAGATGGATGCTATCATGATTAATAAGATTGTTTGTGGGAAGTAGTAATATTCAATATCCTAAAAATGTATTTTTTATCGAAGTCTGAGTGGTCATTTCGATATATCTGATGTTGACGTGTTTGGTTTGAAATTGTTTTGATCTCAGCCATGCATTTCCACTGTAGTTGTATCCAAACTAGATTCTCTTTCATGTGCAGAAGAGCAAAGCCTTCTACTGTATTCAGTACTGAGCATAGATGATTGAAGTACACCTATAAAAACATGTTAAGTGATCAAAGTTATTCTTTATTCTTTATACTGCATAATGGATATCTAAGCTGTCTCAAATTGTCAACTAATTGGTTTGTTCTTCCCCTTTTAGGTAAAATTTGCCAAGCTGTCGGAGAAAAACCCACATGTAGACTTGGCAATTCTGGGAAAAGCTGACCACTTTATAGGAAACTGTATATCTACCTTTTCTGGTTTTGTCAAACGTGAAAGAGATTATAACAACAAATCATCAGAATTTTGGGCATTTAAAAAGAAATCTCACGATGAGTTGTGATAAGTATCCCACATGTTTAAAAAATATTTATAAATACAGCTAGGTTTATCCATAAAATATGTATTTCCGAAATGTACATTATTCTATTTTTATACAACTTTACAATAAAGATGCTTTATTTTAATTACATGTAGTTACAAATGTATGTAAAGAAGTTATGTGTGCATGTAGTTATTAAATCTAATAACTTTACAATAAAGATGCTTTATTTTAATTACATGTAATTACAAATGTATGTAAAGAAGCTATGTGTGCATGTAGTTATTAAATCTAATAACTTTACAATAAAGATGCTTTATTTTAATTACATGTAGTTACAAATGTATGTAAAGAAGCTATGTGTGCATGTAGTTATTAAATCTAATAAAAGACACCTTTTTTACTGTAATATAATAATTTGAATTGAGATTACTATTTATTGGATTCTGTAAGCGAAACTTTCTATTATATTGTTGCAGATTTAGGTTTATATACCTGAAGGCAACTTCAATAAGATAGAAAAAGAAATGAGGGAAGGCTCGCAAAGATATACCTCCCAGATTATATAAGTGTTCATCTTGAACTTATGTAGGAAAATTCAGATTTGTTCATTCACTCTGTCATCGGAAGTATTAAAGGTATTAATGATTTCTCAGTCAATGTCTTTTGGTATTCATTATTACTATGAATATAAACAATATCATCAGATAACAAGAACAAAACTCAAAAGAGAATGTCAATATTTGTTATTTCACACCTTTTCAAAGTGGCAAAACATTTTAATGCAATTAGGAACTAAAGTAACTGTGAGGACATTTAAGCCCTGATTCATCATTACGTATACATGAACACTGACCTTGCAGATGGTGTCTCCCTAGGTACCTGTCTGCATATGTCCCTGGCTGTTGTGTCTCCCTAGGTACATGTCTGCATATGTCCCTGGCTGTTGTGTCTCCCTAGGTACCTCTCTGCATATGTCCCTGGCTGTTGTGTCTCCCTATGTACCTGTCTTCATATGTCCCTGACTGTTGTGTCTCCCTAGGCATCAATCATCATATGTCCCTGGCTGTTGTGTCTCCCTATGTACCTGTCTTCATATGACCCCGGCTGTTGTGTCTCCCTAGGTACCTGCCTTCATATGTCCCTGGCTGTTGTTTCTCCCTACGCACCAATCGTCATATGTCCCTGGCAGTTGCGTCTCCCTAGGTACCTGTCCTAATATGACCCTGGCTGTTGCGAGGACATTTTAACCCCAAACAAACAGAATGAGGGTGCATGCCAATTTGGGCCTTCTGGTGGTTTTCACCTTCCGTAGATATGTTTTTGAGTTGTGCCGTCATGATATACGGTAAGCATGAACTCTAATTCAGTCAGCTTGCAATTGGAGCCCATTCCGATTTATATGATATATATGAGGTGGTGAAGTTTTTTGGGAGTGAAGTAATAAATGACCTGTTTTGTCAAAACTAATGTTAATTTTGGAACCGTCCTCATAATCTTAAAGTATTGTGTAACACTTCTGCTGTGTATAGAAATGATAAAACCACCTTACACACGTAAACACGTAGTTGGTACGTAGGTCGCAGTGACCTAGATCAGATTTATTAGTACTGCTACAACAATATGCTTCATTTCGTTTAATCAAATCTAGTTGCCCGACCAACACATTATCCAAACTTCTTAGTATCAATACAGTCATATCGTGACTGTATACTGGCGAACTTGTGAAAATGTGTATTTTGGAGAATCAAACCTGTAATCTTGTTATCAATCATTTTATCAATCTTGAACATTTTCTCCTCGAAAAGTTTTTTCTATAAGAACTGTTTACTTTTAAGACTGTACGGTCAACCATACCTCATACCAAACTGAAGAACGTCGACTTCGTTCTCGCATTGGGAGATATTTCTTGTCGTCAAGGGGGGAGGGGGGTCCATGTGGGGCCAAATTCAGGAAAATGGTGAAAATGCATGATTTTAAAGAAATTATTCAGGATGGGGGTTCCTTGAAGCCCAAAAAAACCCACTGGATCCGCCACTGCATCTTATTTCAGTTTGGCCTTTGTGCATTTCATAAAATATGCTCCAAAATAATATACAGCCATATATTCATATCGACGTTCGCCTTTTTGAAAAAGAAAATGTCCACAATAAGAGAATGAAGACGTTCCTTCACCTTGGTACGAGGTAAAATGTATGGTAATGTAAAGAGTCGGTCGATAGTTTTGATAAAAAAAAAAATACTTTTGAGAAGAGGATGTTAAAATCCTATTTTTGAGAAGAGGATGTAAAAACAAGTTCTAAATTCATCAAAATCCGCTTTCTGTTTACTCCACTTAATGAGTACACCGTGTCATAATATGACTGTAACACTGATTTGATGGGGTACCAAGAATTCTAATTTTAAAAAGTGTTTCTTTTGTTTTTTAAAGTAAAAATCAAACTGAACCTACTTTCACCATACTTGGACAGTACATTTTATACCTAGCGCAATGTGCTGTGTGTGATATTTACCGACAGTTTTCCCATCATAAATGTTTAGTTTTTGTGTTTTCTGATTCTCAAAATAATTGTGTTGATGCTCAAAGAAGGGACAAAATTCTGTAAAATTCAATCGATCTCACTTGATAGATTTTATATAGAATCGATTTCAAGATACCACTGATAAAAGCATGCTATTTCATAGTATTGTGAGTATGCAAAATAGTGACGTAATAAAATATTGGATTTACTCTGATTTTAAATTCATTTTATGATATGACAGACAACCTCTTTGGTTTCTGGCAGGAGTTGGTTGGTCCATATTTAGTACTGAGGTAAATTTTTTAACACAGTTTGTAAAAAAATACAAAAACGCTGTCTGCGGACCTGTTTCTGTGCTTCACCTGTTTCTATGCTCTGACCTTTTGAGCATCGCTGTGCACGTTCGGTCCATTTTTATTAAAATCGTTCTGGACAGTTGAAATTTGTTGAAATATAAATAGAGGATCTGTCATAAGTTTTCTTCATATTAGATTTATGATACAAGTTTTGAATTTTTCCTGTTTGCGGGCGTCTGGCGAGCAAATATGAAAAAAATCCCAAACGAGTATCATAAAACTAATATGAAGGGAAACGAATGACAGATTCTTTTTATCAATTGTGATCTGAAACGAACATTTTGCACTTGGCCGCCTCGGAAACGATGAAAACTGCGTCTGCTTCACAATGACGTGACGTCAAATTGATTGTTCCTATTCGATTGTTTTTTTTCTACCATTTCTATTTCTTTTTTCTACCATATAGTGACCACCTTCAACTAATTGAAGATTTTGTCACGTCATTCCGAAGTAATATTACACACGTTACATAAATATAATCTATGTGATGGCTTTATGACACTGCATAACACTGTATCCATACGATAATTCAATATTTCCGCGGTTAGAGAGTAAAGCGGGAATAATTGGTCTCATTCGGCACCGAGTAGCAAGTGTTGCACGTGCTGTGACGTCGCAGTGGTTGACAGGTATTGGGTACACATGTGTGCGTCATTCCTAGCCGCCGTTGCCGTACTGCACGATTCACGATATTTTTCATTTTTAGCTCACCTGGCCCGAAGGGCCAAGTGAGCTTATGGCATGGTGCGGCGTCCGTCGTCCGTCCGTCGTCCGGCGTCAACTTTTTACTTTAAACAACTTCTTCTCATTAACCAAAAGGCCTGGGGTGATGATATTTTGCCAGAAGCATGCTGGGATGAAGGGCTTCCAAGTTTGTTCAAATAAATGACCTTCATCTATTTTTAAGGTCACAGGGGTCAAATACATTAAAATCTTTAAGCAACTTCTTCTGAATAACCAAGAGGCCTAGGGTGTTGATATTTGGCCAGTAACATGCTGGGATTAAGGGCTACCAAGTTTGTTCAAATAAATGACCTTGACTTATATTCAAGGTCACAGGGGTCAAATATGTTTTGAACCTTTAAACAACTTCTTCTGAATAACCGAAAGGCCTAGGGTGATGATATTTGGCCAGTAACATGCTGAAATTAAGGGCTACCAAGTTTGTTCAAATGAATGACCTTGATTGATATTCAAGGTCACAGGGATCCAATATGTTTAAAACTTTTAAACAACTTCTTCTGAATAACCAAGAGGTCTAGGGTGATGATATTTAGCCAGTTGCATGCTGGGATGAAGGGCTACCAAGTTTGTTCAAACGAATGACCTTGAATCATATTCAAGGTCACTGGGGTCAAATATGTTAAAAACATTTAGACAACTTCTTCTGAATAACTGAGAGGTATAAGGTGATGATATATGGCCAGTAACATGCTGGGATGAAGGGCTACCAAGTTTGTTCAAATAAATGACCTTTACTTTATATTCAAGGTCACAGGGGTCAAATATGTTAAAAACTTTAAACATCTTCTTCTCGATAACCAAACTGCCCAGGGAGATGATATTTGGCCGGTAGCATGCTTGGGTTAAGGGCTACCATGTTTGTTCAAATGCATGACCTTCACCCATATTCAAGGTCACAGGGGTCAATTGTCTTAAAAAACCTTTAAACAACTTCTGATGAATAACCAAAAGGCTCAGGATGTTGATATTAAGTCAGTAGCATGCTGGGATCAAGGACTACTATGTTTGATAATGTGAATGATTTTGACTTATATGCAAGGTCACAGGGGTCAAATTTGTTTTAAATCTTTAAACGACCTCTTCTGAATAACCATGGGTCCCAGGATGTTGATACTTTGCAAGTTGCATCCTGAGATGAAAGGCTATAAAATTTGTTCAACATAATGACTTTGTTCGACTTTCAATCAAAGGGGTGAAATGTTTTAAAAGAAATTAACAGGATCTTTTGAATGAATTTTAATCATAAATACTGATATTTTTCCTGTAGCTTTATTTTAGATCACTTTTAAGGATACAGGAGTGAGATTTATTCCAGGTGAGCGATGCAGGCCCATTGGGCCTCTTGTTCATTTTTGTTTTGTTTGTATATACAGTAACGATTAGTTATAAGGTCATTGATATTTGATAGTTCATTGGGTTTTTTCTTGCATTGTTGATTTATGTTAAAAAATAAATAATAGTCGAGCACATTCTTTAATGGCTAACTTAAATCCCAGCGTTTTCTGAAATCTTAAGCATTAAGGGCTGTTGCACCTCCTGTTCTCCTGTATTCAAGGTGTTTCAGGTTGGGTGACTTGCTTGATTTCGATGCCATTTTTTTTGTGGTGCGTTCGTACGTTATATTGGTTGCTGTTCTGGTTGTTGCATGGTTTAATTAGCAGAGGATGGATAAATGAGCAATTTCAGATGGAGAGGTAAAACTTTTACTTTGTCCATGATTATAAATATACATGCAGATATTGTCATTTAATATCTATAGGTTATTGATTGTGCTAATAAACTCCGACTTCTTACACACGACGGGCTAGTCGGCGAATGGTATTTGCGTGTTTGTCGTTGCATAAGTATAGAGGAGACTGTGTATATTCACCATTTAGAACGTCTGTCTTAAAATAACGAAGGGAAAAACACGTCAGTAGTTGCAGAATTATTCAACTTTTTTTCCGGTGCCGGAAGAATGAATGGCCGAACGAAGGCCTTTGGGCAAGTTAGGACAGGCACTTTGTGGTAAGGTAAGCTTTTCCCGCCAATTTCACGACTTTAAATGTGTTGCATGAGCCCATTCTGTCCCAAATTGAACTTTTAGCTCACATGCTCGAACGCTTCAAACATTGAACGGCGTTTTTTTTAAATTTTCATGCCGTTATGAACGCAAATCGGTTACATCCATATTGAACGAAGGGCTTCATGTATAATATGGATGTAACCGATTTGCGTTCATAACGGCATGAAAATTAAAATAAACGCCGAGCAATCCATATATTTACATTTTTTTCTATGGAAAGATTTTCTAATTTCATTTATTTGTTCTTAAATCATTTATTTATTTATTTATTTTTGTATGGCAGAACAGTCCTATTCTAATACAATTAGTGCCAATATTTTACCGTAGTCATTTGAGCGTTTGACACAGGGGCATTCTCCATGTTGTCCGAAGCGAAGCGACAAGGTTTCCATTGAACAAGGCTAATCCATGACGTCATACGTAAACCACGTGATACCTCACGAGAGAGTTTGCTTTCATACTCGGATGAAATGCTTTTCTGCTGGTATTGTTCAGATAGTGGGTTGTAGCGCAAATGTAAATATAGAGGTATATAATCTTCATGTTAGGCTGGTGGCTTCCTAAGATAGAGCCCGACAAATTTTGAGAATGAAAATGACTTTGACTTACTTTCAAGGTCACAGGGGTCAAATATGTGAAACTCTTCAAACGACTTATTCTTAAGATCTGAAATATATAGAATCTTCAAATTTGGCTGGTGGCTTCCTGAGATAGAGCCCGACAAAGTTTGAGAATGATAATGACTTTGACCTACTTTCAAGGTCTCAGGGGTCAAATGAGCCAAACACTTCAAACGACTTCTTCTGAAGAACTGAAAGGTGTAAAATCTTCATATTTGGTTGGTTGCTTCCTGGCATAGAGCCAGAAAAAGTTTGAGAATGAAAATGACCTTGCTCTACTTTCAAGGTCTCAGGGATCAAATGTGTCAAACACTTCAAATGACTTCTTCTGAAGAACTGAATGGTATAGAATCTTCATATCTGGCTGGTTGCTTCCTGTGATAGAGCCCGATAAAGTGTGAAAAAGAAAATGACATTGACCTACTAACAAGGTCACAGGGGTCAAATATGTCAAACAATTAAACGACTTCTTCTCAATAATCTTAAAGCATAGTTTTATAATATTTAGCTGATAGCTTCCTGGGATGGCGCCTGACAAAGTTTGAAAATGAAAATAACCTAGATCTCCTCATAAGGTCACGGGGGTCAAATATGTCAAACAAATAATGTCAAATACTCAGGTTAGCGATACAGGCTCTCTGGGCCTCTTGTTTATAAATTCGTATATTACAGCAAACACTTCAAATGACTTCTATTGAGGAACTGAAGGGTATAGAATCTTCATATTTGGCTGGTTGCTTCCTGTGATAGAGCCCGATAAAATGTGAAAAAGGAAATGACCTTGACCTACTTACAAGGTCACAGGGGTCAAATATGTCAAACAATTAAACGACTCCTTCTCAATAATCTTAAAGCATAGTTTTATAATATTTAGCTGATAGCTTCCTGGGATGGCGCCTGACAAAGTTTGAACATGAAAATAACCTAGATCTCCTCATAAGGTCACGGGGGTCAAATATGTCAAACAAATAATGTCAAATACTCAGGTTAGCGATACAGGCTCTCTGGGCCTCTTGTTTATAAATTCGTATATTACAGCAAACACTTCAAATGACTTCTATTGAGGAACTGAAGGGTATAGAATCTTCATATTTGGCTGGTTGCTTCCTGTGATAGAGCCCNGGGGGGGGGAGGAGATTCACACGAAAAAATGTCCTCAACCTCAATTGTTAAATTACTAAAACGGAAAAGTTACTTTTGGGAGGACGAAAAGCTCATGTGTGGGCGGACGTACCCCGGGGCCGAACTTGTCCCGGTATCCATAGTTTAGTTCGGCAAGGATGTGGAAGCAAAGCAAAAACAAGTAAATTAGACCTTTTTGCGCATGGAAAGGTACTTTTTATGGTTTAAAACAGTTTAAACATATTTTATTGCCAAAAAATGCAAGAAGAATTGGGCACAGGTTACATGAACATTATTAACGC